CGCCTTGTGAACGGCACGAGGAGGTGGAAGGGAACCTCATGCTGGATGTGGTTGGAACATTATTTGTGATCATACATCTATAACATGGCAAATTAATGAAAATAATTAATAAAGAGTAATCCGAGATACCAGTGKTTTATCCAAGATCAGCAAAAATAGAGTCCAAAGGACATCACCCACTCTATGGTTTATAGGATTTTTTCTTTTCATGATCCATAAGATCTTAATGGTTCCAGTGCAAGGAGCAGTTGGGAAGAGGTGAAGGAATGTGTCATACATGTAAGGCTGTTTGTGAGGTTTTTTTTTTTTTTTTNTTTTTTTTTTTTTTTTTTTTTTTTTTTTGCAAGACTTGCATTTGAATTTCCTCCCTGTTTCATATAGTCACATACTTGCTTTCCCTGAAGAAATCGCTTTACGCCTGTGAATTTCCCTCTTTGCAATTTTATCACCATCTGCAAAGAAGAGCAGTGAAGTCTGCCTCAGATCCAGCTGCTTTGATTCTATACCGTATTTGGAGAGCAGGTGTATCCAAAAAGAAGAAGAAGAAGAAAAAAGAACAAGAACAAACAGAAACATAAGCAAAATCATGGTCTTGCAGCATGCTCAAAACCCTCGAGCCATAAAACATACAATAGAGAGTTGAATTGGAATGGATGCATTAAAAATAGCTTCTGGGAGAAGGCACGGAGAGCCAGGCAGGTGATGCAGGTGGCCGAGAGCCTCGTCCCTGAACAGCCGGGCGGGAAAGTCGCTGCCGTGGCCGCGGGCGGAGGCCAAGGCTTCAGCTGGAGGCCGCCCMATGGCCAGCGGCGCCTCGGCAGGGCCCAGGCGTCCGGGACGCTGCCGCCCCGCACAGAGGCAGGGCCGCGGATCCCGCCCAGCAGCCAGCTCACATCCTCCTCCCATGAAAAATATTCTGCTTTCTTTGTCTACAGTGTTGAGTGGTTATGAATGGCAGGGATAGACTATCTGTAATTATTTTTAAATTATTAATAGTTTTGTTAGATCCCTTCACTTTTACATTAGGTTTCTGTTAATATAAGTTCTGTTAATGTAATGTAAATCAAGATGTACTTCAGTTTCCAGGTGGCTCCCAAATGTATTTTTCWTTCTTCCCTACCATTGCTTCAAGCTCTCCAAGAGGTGTCCACGATGAAGTTTGCTCCGGAGTCCACGGCCTCCCGGTCCCAAGGAAGCCCAAGAGCATCTTGCGGAGCCACTTTGCCCCCAGGGACCCACRGCTGCCACCAAAGGACGAGGGAAGAGTCACACTGCTCCATCCACGCTCCTTGTCCTGCCTGGGAGACTCCAGGGTATCCTCTGGACCAGAGAGCTCAGGACCACGGAGGTGGTAAGAGGGGGCACGTCACGTGTGGCCCTTTTGGGCACCAATATTGTGTGCAGAAACAGCTCCTTCCCGGATGAGGCAGTTTTGGGTGGCCCCACCAAGAAACACTCTCTTCTCTGGGCAGTCAGAGCAGCTWCTCATCCCGTTTTTCCTGTTCCCAGTCAGACAAAGGGGGTCCATGGCCTGGCAGCCTCCCTGCAAGGTCCCTTGAAACAGGCCTGTGGGGCAGGTGTGGGTCCCAGCCTGGCAGACATTCAGTCACCTCGGAGGCAGGGGGAGGCCTCGGCCGTGCGAAGCCAGTGGTGAAAGCAGAGCGTGTGGAGGGGACACGCGGGCAGCCGAGCAGACACCGCTGCAAACAGCGATGCGGATGAAATGCAGGACACGGAGCCCGGGCAGCAGCCGCAGCAGCTCCCGCACAGGGACACGGGCTCCTGCTCCAGCTCCCACACAGGGACACGGGCTCCCGCTCCGGCTCCCGCCTCATGCGTGGGGACACGGGCTCCCGCTCCAGCTCCCGCACAGGGACACGGGCTCCCGCTCTCGCCTCCCGCTCCCGCCGGCTCCCGGCGCGCCCGCGGCGAGGGCGGAGCCTGCGCCGCCTCAGC